GCTTCTTATCTAAAATATGATTAAAAGCCCACGTTGAAGTAGGCAGGAGGTCATAAAATAAAAATGGCTACTATAGAACCATATGGTAGATAGTCTCAATGTATATATAAATTTAAAAAAATTATACAACATTCTAACGTCATAAAATTTATGGTTAAATTTTAATTTGTTCAATAGATAATTCACATGAAAAACCCTCTTAATTTTTTAATCTATGTATACAGGGTGAGTCATAACTATTGAGCAGGTTATTTGGACCAAAATATGAAGTTTGGACTAACCATGCCTTAATAAAATACTGCAGTGAGAAAAGATGCAGGGTGTTAAAGGTGACATATTATTTTGGTAAAGGTCTAGATAATGGTGGGGGGATCGAAATAGGAGGTCTCCCCCACCATTGTACCATAAAAAGTTCGTGGCGGTCTCACCCCCATTTAAACAATATTCAAAGGTAAAACTAATGGAAAAATACATAAAAATTTTGAGAAAGTTATATAAAACATTATTTAAATAGTTTTATCAATAGGGTAGGTTAGGTTGGGTTATCGGGTTTTGTTCAAGTGACCACCCTCTTTCGATCCCCCGCCTCCACCCGCTTGAAAATAATTTTTTTATTGAATTTTATTTGAATTATAGTCTATGAAAATTGTCAAAATAGTCAATCTTCAACTCCTATAATTTTTTATGCGGGTGAGACGGCCGCAAATTTTTAATGGGGTTTTACTCAGGTGACCACCCTCTTTCGATCCCCCCTTCCCATCGCCCTAGCCATCATCTAACCCCATAACTTTTTATGGGGGTGAGACCGCCACGAACTTTTTATGGTACAATGGTTGGGGAGACCTCCTCTTTCGATCCCACCCACCTCCACCCCCTTTGGGGGTGGGAGCCATCATCCAGAACTTTACCCCATGCGATTTCCTATTGCATCTAGTTAGCATCCTTCAAAGCTTGCCAGTTCTTTCAGAAACACCCTGTATAGTATTCAGCATGTGTCTCTCGGATTGCATCGTACAGACTATGTTGATGACGCACAAGCAACCTTATATGAATAATATTGTACGTACTTATAAACGGTATCGAAAGTGTTTCTGATGCTAAAATATATAAGTATGTAGAATAATTAATATATAACATGTAAATTATACTTGGCTTGTATGTTTTAATATGTGAGATTTGATTTTTATGTTACATAAAAATATTTTTCACAATTTTTTGCTACCTTACCTGGTTTTTCTTATGTACGAGATTTGTTTATCGCAAAACTGTTTTATAAATTAACTCTATTATATTTAATGATGCCATTACTAATCGTGGCAAATTTACATTACAATATATATGAAGTATCATAACTGCCATTCGCTGCACCCAATAATATATTTTATGAGAAATTGACCGTCATCCGATTTAAATTTCTGCTTTTTAATAACAGTGAGACATGTTGAAGAATTTTTGTAGGGTTAATTTCAATACATTATGGTGAGTTAATTTTTACCACTGTAGATAACCTCGCCGGGAATCAAACCCGGATCCTTGGTTTTACGCGGTAAGCTACGAGATAATAAACCTAATATGTAGGTCACAGAATCGTCGAATCAATATATAATAATTATTAACAATGAGAGAACAAAATAATTCGAAGTGGTCTGTATTCTGTCGAAACTGCCAGACACGGGTCGTGATTTCGATCTTATTGGATCTCATAAGCGCGTCGCAGGCAGCTCCGACAGAACACAGACCAACCTTTATCTGCTGTCTTAACAGCGCGTTTTAGAAAATACCACAAATGGCGTGGTGAGCGCCATCTGTAGTACGACAGAACACAGACCAACCTTCTTTTGTCGGAGCTGCCTGCGACGCGCTGATGAGATCCAAAAAGATCGAAATCGCGATCCGCGTCTGGCAGTTTCGACAGAACACAGACCACCTCAAATTATTTAATTCGATTATGGTAACGTGCCTATCACGTTGAGGTTAGCTACGCCGGGATTCGTTTCAGCAAGTAGATATCCATATATTTAAATGGACCTTGTTGGAGCATACGTAATCCTAAAATGTAGCATCGTACTACAGATGGCGCTCATCACGCCATTCGTGGTAATTTCTATAACAATGAGAGATTTAGAACAATTTATTTTGTAGGGTTAATTTCAATACATTAAAGTGAATAAATTTTTACCACTACAGACACGCTGCAACTGTAACTCTAGTAGCTTAGTGGTAGAGCAATGGTGCGTAAAGACAGGGACGCTGGTTCGATTCCCGCCGGGGGCGTGTCAGCAGCAGCAAGTTTTCCTCATTCATTTGAAGTTATTTGTAGTGGTAGAAATTAATTCATACTAAAATATTTTGAATACATTTTGCATCCCAAAAATACATAGAAAACAAACATAAACGGACTTTTTAAAATGTTTTAGTTGTTTAAATACTTAAAGAATTATATAATTTAATTTTTAGGGTACGACAAGACAAGTACGCTCCTTTAAGATAGCTTGGTGGGGGAGTAATACTAATTTAATGTTATCATTGAGTTTACCTAATACATATGTCATTAAGCTTCGAAAAGAACAAAAGGCTATTTTTAATTCACTTTGTTATAAACTTACCTTTTTACCTTTGTCATGACATGGAATGAATAGGGCGTGTTTAATTGTTATATTAAGGACATTTTCTGTAAATTGCTTTATTTATAGATTTGTTTATTTATTTTTATGCTTAACATTCTTACTACTAATAATAATTATATGAGTAGGTAGTACGTATTCAATTAAAATATGAGTCAGTCTATCTTTAACTCATTTTCTTAGAAAGACGTTTTTACTTCGTCATTTATTTATTTTAAAAGTACCTACCTACTTTTAAAATATACATAAATACGATAAGATAAACGTAAATGTTTTGATATATTATATAGGAGCAATATTGAGTAACTTTCATTATTGCAGATACCAAACGATCACAAATATGAACTTACAAAAAGCAATCAATGAAATTATTAGAGAAAATAATATACAAAACCCTGATGTTACAATTTCACCAGCAACGAGAGGCGGATACTTTGGAGATCCAAGTAAAATTAAGATAGAAGGAACAAGTGCTGCAAATGAGAAGAAATCATTCCACCTTTTTCTGAAGTCCATACCTAAATCAATGCCAGCAACTCTTCCTGGACATCAAGCATACATGAACGAAATAACAATGTACAGAGACGCATTTCCTACATTTTCCGAGTTCCAAGAAGAAAAAGGTGTGACAGAACCGTTTGATAGTACTGTCAAGTGCCATAAGTGTTCTGATGTTGAATTCAAGGAATTTCTTATTTTTGATGACCTCACGGAAATGGGCTTTGTTCTTTGGGATAAGAAAAACCCAATGACGTCACAATGTATCGAACTTATTTTGAAACAAACTGCTAAATTTCACGCCGTTTCTTTCGCACTTCGTGATCAAAGGCCTCAAGTGTTTTCAAATTTATCAGAGAAACTTTATTGTAATACTATGATTGATTTTTTCAAAAATCCTGACAATTTACATTTATCCAAGTTGAATTCGGAAATCGCCTTAGAATGCATTGACAAAGTCAAGGAAGAAAACGTTTATAAGATCTACAAAAACTTCATAGAAAACGACTTAAAGACAGCAGCACTTCATTGTTCAGTTATGGATAAAACAGTTATTATTCACGGAGACAGGTGGTGCAACAATTTTATGTTTAAATTCGAGGTAGGTAGATACGTTTTTTACCGTTACTTATTTTTTTAATGATTTGTGATAGAATCGAATTTAGTTGCCCTGAAATAATTATTAAGTGAAAATTTTTATTCGACAAAGGCAACATTTTCACTGTACAAAGAATTGGTAGGGAAGTTTAAGTTAAGGAGGGCGGGGTCGATTTGTACAAAGCTGCAAAATATACATTTCGACTTAATGATTTTTTTCACTTGTCGCAATGAACAGCCGAATGCCACTGTCATATTTATATTGTAAAATTTCTCATAAATTAAATGCGTAATTTGATTTTCTCTCCATGTTCCTTTCGTTCGTGAAAGATCCATTTCGTTGTACGAGTTTTGTGTTATAAATAATGTCGTTCTTTTTTAAGGCAACAGTCACCGTGAACTAATTCTAATCTAAGCCGAGAACGATACGAACGAGATCAATTGTTTAATTTCATTATCTTTTCATTCATTAACAGTTCGTTGCAAACTAGTTCATTTTCATTATAGAAACTAGTTCGTTGAAAAGAATAGAATACAGTACGAATTTTATGTATAACATCGAGCAGGAAATAGCCAAGAGCAATGGTAATCCGACATCATAAGATCAGAACAAGATTCTAGCTCAGTCTCGAAGATACATCGATAATGAAAGAACGAAGAAGGACGACCAAACTGGCAAGAAGTAGTTGGTAGATTGCACAAATTATAATTATGATGACATTTCTCCAGGAGGAAATTTTGGCGTAAACAAGATCGTTGGGAAGGTAGGCGAACTAATTCATTGATGCAGAAAGTGAACGACTTGCGCAGCCAGTGAGAGGGGTTTCTGTGGGTCAGAATCGTATTAGCAACTAATTTGAGAAATTGCTATAGTTGTGGCAGGACCATACCCAGAAATTAATATAAGTACATCGTTATGGCAGCCGATTACTTTCGAAATAGGAGGATAGGAAGAAATACGTTAGATTTACTAGATGGAGGCCGGTTTATTTACTGTCTTGGTACTGCTCGTTATGAGAGTGTTTTGGTGGAACTAAGGTACCAACACTGACACCATTAAATTGGTCATACTAAAGATGGAGTGTGCGCTGAATGGACATGTCTGGTATTCCATGACCGGAACCATCACAAATGAAAATAGCTATCTATTTTCATTCAATGTTTTGAGGATGCAGGGTTACAGCTGCAAGAATCTGCATGATTCTTCGAAAGACCGGCAGAGTATGATTTGGGACGAAGCATCCATTAAGATGTAGCATTGTTGTGGACCATTGTCGCAAGCGATGGTTACCGATGGCGATACGTTTGAAAGCAGGCAGACGTGGATCAAGGCTGGTTGACAAAAGGAACTGTCAGAACTAATTCTGAATATTCCATGATTGTACAAATAATTGACCAGCATCCGACCGTGAAATTAGTTTATAAGTCGAAGAATCAATACAAGGTAGTTACTACAAATAGTAACCGAATGAGAGATCTGGACACTGAACATAAATCATCAGTCGATTTTCAGACAAATAACTTCATGTCATCATCATCATCAAAAGGTCATCAGTACTAAGATTGGTTGGGCACGCATCTCCACTCTTTCCTATCCTGAGATAATATTCGCATTTCTCTATAACTAGAACATCCCACATCCTTAACTATTTCCTGTTTCCCCCTCTAATAGGCTTCTGACTAGACCTTCGCGCCTGTGACCTATCTCGCCTATTTCTTATTGACATCCATAGAGCCCTCTGTTGCTCTTTCTTTTTCTAATACGTCTTCATTTCTAACCTTCTCTATCCACGGTATCCTCATTATTCGCCTGTAACACCACATTTCGAACGCTTCTAACCTTTTCTTTTCCGCCGCGCCCACATACACCTTTAACAAACTTTTTCGAATTTCTAATTTAACCGTTCGCGAGCATAGAAGTGACTCTTTACTGAAGGCGACTCGACTCTGCGCTATCTTATGCTTTATATCCCAACTACTTCTTCCCTCCACTCTTTCCTATCCTGAGATAATATTCGCATTTCTCTATAACTAGAACATCCCACATCCTTAACTATTTGCGAACAGTAATCTAATATAGGTTTCCCTCTACCCCTCTTAACTCCTGTTTCTCTAATAGACCTCTGACTAGACCTTCGTGCCTAGAAGGTGTCCTGCCAACCTATCTCGACTATTTCTTATTGACTTCCATACAGTCCTCTGTTCTCCTTTTTCTTCTAATACCTCTTCATTTCTAACCTTCTCTATCTACAGTATCCTCATCATTTGCCTGGTACACCACATTTCAAACGCTTCTAACCTTTCCTTTTTCGCCGCGCCCATTGTCCATGTTTCGCATCCGTACTGTGTCACGCTCCAAACATACACCTTTAACAACTTTTTTTGAATGTCTAAATTAGGTAATCGTTCCCGAGCATAGAAATGGCTTCTTTTTATTGAAGGCGACTTGACTTTGCGCTATATCCCTACTACTCCCTCCATCCTGACTTCCTAGATACTTAAATCAGCCACTTCTTATATGTTTTCGTCTCCTGTTTTTATATTCGCTCTTTCCCCACTTTTCCTTTTCTTGCAAACCGGTATTTTTGTTTTAGTTTTATTTACTTTCATAGACTAACTCCTTCTTGTTAGATACTAATACTGCTATATCATCTGCAAATCTAAGCATAAAACTTCATAACTTATTACATAACCTCATGTAATATATAATATATTTATATTTGTTTATTTATA